CCAGCAAAATTATGGAAAGCAGTCCAATGACCATCATTCAGGACGATCAGCTGAATTAAGACTTTTGTTGGAACGAGCACTCAATTTAAATAGTTCAACCCGACACTTACCTTTATTATCACACATCGAAAACTTTCAAAACTCAGTACCCAAGTATAAGACCGCTGGCGGTCAGATGTCGGATGAAGACCTCGGTCGGAAACTGCTAATTTCTCTAAACAACAACTATTTTCAAGACGCAAAGGACATAGCTATTCTAAACATACCTAAATATGATGAAGTTGTCTCTGAACTGAAGAAAAGAGTGGATGCCGTAGCAATGCTTAAACGTAGTACTACTGCGCCAAAGTTAACAACTGTAATTCACCACGCCGCTGAAGCTAGTGCCATCTCTAGTTCATCTTACCAAAACAAGTATTCCAACAAATGCACAAAGAAGTGATGCACAGGTTTAAATCATAATCCAGATATGTGTTTCAAAAAACCCGGTAACAAGCACCTACAGCGCAAATGGATTGAACAACGAGTTAAACTTGGACAGTGGAACGGTGACCCTCCAAAATATCTTACCACCTCTTCAGCAGCAGCCGTAACATTACCTGATGAACCTACCATTGAACAACTCAAGAGATCATTCAATTCACTGAACGCATCAGCAAGCCACATTTCTTCTCAGTCATTATCTAAGTCTAGTTCTTTACGCAGTTCCTCAGACATTGAAGTTTTAATCGATACAGCTGCTTCACACCATATGTTCAAAGACAAAACACTATTCCATAATTATATCGACGTAAAAGAAAAGAATGATTCATTGGATATGGCTGGAGGAGGTGCAACGCTTCCTATTCATGGCCGTGGAGACATCCATTTCATCGGTCCAGACGGAGACAAGTTTGAATTCAACAACTGTTTACATATCCCTGATCTCAAGAGGAGTTTAATTGGCGGCACGATTCTACTTAAAAATGATTTCATCACCAAGAAAGAAGGAGACGAATTCATCATCACCAAAGATAGCAAATGCGCATTTAGAGGAGCTCTGGATGAAGGCATCAATTTATTACGATCTTCTGTGAGAGCGGTTTCAAATCACATTCCTACACCTCAAGCACTTGCTGTCACATCAAACGCTGACGAAAACGTCTTAAACCTTCATCGACGCTTAGGTCACCCAAACGTGCGATATATGAAGACAATGGCTTTACAGAACTGTGTTAAAGGGCTGGGTCTAACTTCTTCTGACATACCAAATGTCCTATCCTGTAACTCTTGTGATCTATTGAAACACCACAAAATTCCACATAACAAATTCCATGTTTGTAGCCTTGGTCTATTAGACAATGTTCATCTCGACTTGAGTGGCATCATCAGAACACCGGCGATTTGTGGCAGTATTTACTTTATGTTATTCACTGATGATTACTCAAGATATCGCCATGTTGTAGGATTAAATACTAAATCTACAGCAACAGTATTCATTAAGATCCAGCAATACATATCGCTTGTGGAAAGACAATGCAATTCAAAAGTTAAAATGATCACTCTTGATAATGGTTACGAGTTCATTAATGACACCCTTGTACCTTATTGCAAGCAGTTAGGTATTTATCTTAGGACCACAGCAACTTACACGCCCGAAGAGAATGGTGTTGCTGACAGATCGAAAAACATTCATAAGCGTCATCACATTCTTGAAGGTGACCCTCACCATCTATGAGGTGCAAAGTTTCAACCGGGCTTGAAATGGCCGCGGGTCAAAAAGACTGCTCCTTTCCAGCAAAGTCTCGAAGGACCCAAGTCCCCGAGGCCCAATCCGTCGAGACGGCGTATGTGCCAATCCAATCCATACCCAGGATTACGTCAAATGACGCCAACGGAGCTACACGAAGCTCATGACTGATCGACACTAGACCAAAGTCTATGTTGAGTCCAGCGAGGTGATTACACTTCTGAGCTTTCCCCCACACGCCGTAAACTACGGGGCGCGACGGATTCCTTTGTGTGATAATCTTCCTATTATCGACATAATTTTGCAAAATATAAGATTGCTTCGCACCAGTGTCTATTAATATCCTGGTGGACACATTGTCTAGTGTTAAGACAAAATCGACTCTAGGCATTCCTGAGTCTGTTTCAATAGCAGCCAAATGATCGCGGAAGCTATCCGTGACCATTCCAGAGGTTAAAACACCGGGCTCACTGGCCAGTGAGAATGCGGTAGATTTGACCGCTGTTTGACAGCACATCTCCTTACATGGAGCGCTCGGTAAATAGTCGTAAAGACTAGGAGCGATTTTCGAAGGCTGTTTCTCGCATTGAGACAAAACACTCTTAGTCTTCGAACTCTTAGCCGTTTTAAGGGGCTTGGATGAAAGAATTTTCTCACATGAAGTCAATTTGACTTCGGGCTCACAAATAACATCACAATAATCCGAAGATTGATCACTAGCGGTGGTAATGACAGTATTATTACTAGCAGTGATAAAGACAGTAGATGATGTTGTAGACAGATCAGGCCATACAATAGGAGCAAAGATTGTATCGCCTAGGCTTTTGACTCCCCAGAGCCACTAGCCACGGCATTAGAAGAAGAACCGCTACCTTTATTTTTCTTAAAATAATTTAAGGTACGCGGTGAAGCTTTTTCAGGACAAATCTGATTAACCAACGTGCCAAAACGATGACCCTTCTTCCCACAATTGTAACAGACCACGTCAGACTTGCCACCTTCCGGATTCTTCCGCTTGTTATTCTTCTTATTGTTGGATGAATGATTTTGAGGAGTCGAAACGGTATTAACATGGTCCTTCTCAGATCGTAGTTGGTTGTCTCTATCAATAGCACATAAAGTGACCTGCGAAAACGTCATAGGTCTCCCAGCTCTCGAATCGTGCTCTATTTCACCTTGAACGTATCTGCGTAGATAAGGAGGTAATTTGTTGAGGAAAACCGTGGATTCTTGATATTCGAATCCTAAGTAGATAGCATCGTTTTGGAGAACTCGAAAACGGGCGACCACATCACAGACCTTCTCATTCGGACGGAATTTGAAGTTATCGAATCTCCCCTGGATGTTGATAAGGGAGAGCGAACTGGGGAACGCATTGATTACGAAATCTTCCAATTCAGAATAGGTGCTAGGACAATTTGGTGATCCGATAACTTGACGAAGTTCAGTTAAAGCAGCACCGTCGAGAAACTGAAATCCAATGTAATGCCATACTGCTTCATCAACGTTGAGGAGCATGAGGTCTTTGGCTAAATTAGCAAACCAAAGTGGGGCGTCATAAGAACTGGTACCGTCGAATTTTTCGAATTTTCGAATGGCCAGTGTCTTGCAAATTTTGTGATAATCTTTATCACGGGAAATTCCAGCTTCAGGTGGCTGAGAATATCGAGTCAAACTGGTGAAACCGGGCTGAGTTCCAGGTCGGACAGAAGGACCCACCGAATCTCTAACCGTGATTTGGCGGATGGGCTGTTGAGCCGGCGTCGAAACAGGGTTAGGGATGATTGTCGAATCCGACAGAGTGACACTTTCGATGCGTCGAGAGAGTCGAGTTCTTTCGGCTTCAGAGGCAGCCTTCCATTGACAAAAGGCGGCGACCTCGTTCGGATCTTCAATTGGATCAATGACGAGTGGCTTGGACTCTTGACGGTGATAATCTTGGTCGTTGAGAACGTCGTCCATAGGTTCCATAGAAGAGGCCGAGACTGATTTCTGTTCACGTGGAACGTAACCAGTAAGGGGGTAAGACTGTGATGCTTTGTTGTTGGCGCGAGTCTTACCTTTGTCGGTAGGAGCTTCTTGTTGCTTCTTATCGAACAAAGAGGAGGTCTTCTTCCCAGGAGCAGGGGGCATTGTGTTGGCTGGGGGTGCAGCCGGAGTTTGACCGACAGATCCATCCGTAGGTAAAGCAGGATTCTTGTATGTGGTCGGGGATTCAACTTCCAGACGTCGTTCACCGTCCGAGTTGATGCCGAGCAAGCGTTGGACAACCGGAGGAATCGAAAGAAGTCGTTTTTCCTTGTGGCTCTTCAAGGTTTGAAAGTAAACCTCATCCCAACTTTCAAAGTTATCAACCGTAGCCTTGTCCCACACACCGTAGTTTGGATCCCAGGTGGTAGAGAGGACTTCCGGGAGTTCGAGGATAATCTTTTTAACATCCTCGTCAGGAAGAGGGATATGGGAGCCAGCTCGGCGACCAGAAGATTGGGGGACAGATTTTCCAGACATGACTGTTATCTAATGTTTTACTAAACAAAAGGAATCAGATGTTAGATATTTGGATATCTTTTTTTCTCTTCTTTTCAACTTAGCTCGAATTTAGACTCACTTGTTTCGAAAAAAAGAATTTTTTAGATCTAATACGTTCTGAAGAAGTTATTGACAGTGAAAAAAAGACAAGTCTTTTTGAATCTGTTAAAACTTAAAATATAAACGAAAAGAAATTTTTTTTTTCGAAAGGTCGTCAGGATCAATTTTTTCAAATAAAAAAAGAAGCTCTCGCTACCAGTGTAACAGGGCGGAGATTTACCCACGTTATGATATAAGTTCTTGTATAACAAGAACTCGAGGTGAGTGAAGTGGAAGAAAGAGGAATAAGATCACAGATCTTAGAACTGTATTCAGACGTTAAGAATTGAGTCGAAAGGGGCACGGGCGGAGGTTAGGATAACCAAGGCAGGTGAGATGCTTTTGAAGGAGTTCAATGAATAACGATGAAGGCAAAAAAAGGCTTTTAAATGTTGTAAACAAAAGTAAGAAATATAATTGCGTGTATAAAAAGATCTTTTATAGAGCAGATGATATGTGTAAGAATTTGTAAAAGTAAAAGGTAACAGATTGATAAAAGATAAAAGTGCCGAAACTATTACAATGGGAATAGTTTCCCTTATTTATACAATCTCAATACGAACAAGAAGGCTAAGGATGCCTTGTTTAGAGCACCCACTATGGTTGCGTTAACTCGGTGATTTAGCGTTACCCTAACGCTAAAATACCAACAGGTCCACTATGGACCTGTTTTAGACCTGCGGTCCGTACGGCTGCGTCAAGTCTTGCACTTCGTGTGCTCAGATTTACGCAAGCCTACGACTTGATTTATCGTAGGCACTAGGGAAAGCAGACAATAAATCATCCCATAGTGGATTTCACGCGGTTACCAACTTTGGTAAAACACGCATGATCAAACTTCGCGCGCAGGAACGCAAACTTTACGATAAAACACTCCCACCATAGTGGGTGCTCTTAGACTAGGCACAAATGACGATGGCATGTGCCTGGTTTACAATTAAATGTTCTTTTACTAGGGTCTAGTCTCAAATACAATACTTCGGTTTAGACTAGCCCTTTTATAATGGCGGAATCCTTCGGTAGTCAGGTTTAAGCCATTTGTCTTAATGTAGCTAGTACAGGGCCTTCGGCCCTGCTACAAACATGATCACTTTGTCATGGTAATCTTGACTCACCTGGAGCTGGGAGAAACCTGGCCCCAATATGATCTAGACATCCACCATTCCCATCCCCTATGTCTATACTTTTTCACTACCCTCTGCTTACTTTTCGACGATGCCTCCATATAAAATTACCTATCTATTGCCTCTAGCTCGCCAGCGGCACCGCCAAGAAATTCACGTCGGAATGCCCCTTCCGATGTCACATCGTGGACGGTGTTCCGAAGCAGGGTCGGGGCCAAATTGTGCGATAGAATTGTTGTGCGATGTGTAATCACATCTTCACTGTCCGATGGGATCCGCAGTCCGATTGAGGATCGCTTTGGCACAACCGATGAAACTGAGCGCCGATCCCAAACCGCATTGGTGGCCGCCGACTGAACCTCAGTCTGATCAGGTCCAATGGCTACTCGTATAGCGCTCCTCCGACTAAAACAAATGTGCGATACAATCATCGCATCGCATCCCCTCTGAGCAACTAAATGTCGGGCCTTTTGTCCCGATTCAATCATTTTTTCGATTTCATGGCGGTGTTTGAATCGCGATTCAATCTCGCTGGCGAGGCAACTTCGGTTGCATCTTAGCGACGCATTCCAAAAGCAGCCGATGCAATCGGCGTAGGACCGATTTGGTCTCGAATCGACACAAAAATTGCAGAAAAATTTTCTGTCTTGCGAGCTCTTCGAACTTCGAATCTGAGCTCTTCGAACTTCGAATCTTAAGCTCGAGTGTCAGAGGTCTGGGCTTCGAGCCTCAAGAGACCTTGACATATAAAGCTTCGAAGTTCGAACTTGACTTTGAAGTTCGAACTTGCCCTTGAAGACTCAGCACGTAGCCACTCTTGCGATTAAGTGCTTCCATGTAGTCAGGGTGATGCGGAGAGGCTGAGATCCAATACTCTCCTTTGATGTTCAGCATGTATGCATCCTCAGAATAGTGTGTTCTTCTGAGGATGAATAGTCCAGATGCGCATTTCAATCCATATAAGATAGGGTTCAACTCACGCGATCATCTTCATATTCAACAGTTTCTCGCTTCATCTCACTTTGACACCATTTATCAATTCATTAAGGCCAATCACCCAAGAAAGCAAAGTCTTGAAAGATGAAAACGTTAGCTCTGATACCTTGCCACTGTTCCGACTGTGAAAAAAACACCTACCAACATCCCCAGACCAATGCTAAAGTATACGGAACGCTCTGGAGACCTGCAAATCACAAAAAACATGTCAAGAGCTTCGGGACACGCGCGACATGCACGGCACAAAAACTCTCTTTATCCTCGGATATTTCAGGTAGGTAGACGTTCTCTCTTGTTAAATTGTTAATATTCCTTGAGAGTCTGAGAGCAAGCGGTTGATAGATACACGATCACCATCACAAGATGCCCAAAAGGCCTCAATGGAAAGTTTGCCTCTTGCTTCTTCGAACTTAGAAACAACAGCTTTCAATCGTAAAGCCACAGAAAGCCACTTCCAACCATCATGGGATGGGCCAATCATAGATTCAAGTGTGTTTCATCATCTTTTATTCAATAGAGTTCTATCTTTATGTGAATTTCGTTGAATTTTTGAATTTTTGACAAGCAGGCATATACAGTACAACACACTACGACAAGTTTCGACGTTGGAAGCCTTCTGACCTGGCTTACTTCCTTATGATCACATGTTTACACCTTATCAAAAATATCAGTGTGGAGGCTGCCACGCTTTGCTTGCATGTCATAGGTGCAGTCTCCACCTTCAACACCGATGAAAAGTCTTCGCAGGCCACTTTACCAAAGGCTATGAGTACATTTCTTGATGGACTACGGATTGAGCCAAAGATTCGCAGAACAGTGTGCTGCCCCAAATGCTTCAGTATGTACTATGGTGATAAGATTCCTACATTTTGCACGTCTCAAGTTACTCCCAGGAGCCGTGTATGTTCAGAGCAGCTTTTACACGAAGCAGGTATTCATGATGGGACAACCCCAAAAGCATGCCGGCTCTTTTTGACTGTATCCTTTACTGATTGGTTAGCTCGTTTTTTGAATCGACCTGGGATCGAGGATTTGCTGGAATGGAGAGACGACTATTTCGAAACGCAAGGTCCGATCATGAAGGATGTCCGGGACGCTTCAATGTGGCACTCGCTTCGTGGGGAAGATGGACAGCGGTTTACCTCCTCTCCCGGAAATCTGGTGTTTGCTTTGAATGTTGATTGGTTCAATGCAAATGGAAACAAGGCTGTGTCGAAACAAATATCTCTTGGAACTATTGCTTTAGTTTGTTTGAATCTGCCACCAGAGATTCGTTCATCTCAAGAGAACATATTTCTGGTAGGGCTGACCCCTGGTCCTTCCGAACCGGACGTAGAGCAAATGAACCATGTTCTGGCACCCTTAGTCCAAGAACTCAAGGTCCTATGGAAGGGTGTCAAGTTTTCTTCTACCGCCAAGTATCCTACACATGGTAGAGTAATCCGTGCTATGCTAGGTCCCATTATCTGTGATCTTCCCGCAATACGAAAGGTTTTGGGGATGGCAGGCCATTCATCAAATCGACATGTTTGCTCACTTTGTCTACTCGGAACAGACGACATACATCTATTACGAATTCCTAAAGAAAGAAGACGATGCACACATACACTTCGCGAACAGGCTTTGGCCTGGAGAGATGCAAAAACGATAACACGCCGGAAGGAAATCTTTGCTGAATATGGCGTGCGGTACTCCGTCCTATGGGAACTTCCGTATTTTGATCCTCTTAGCCACACAATTGTAGAACCGATGCACAACATCTTTCTTGGTATCATCAAGAACCATGGCACAAGGGCTTTTGGAATGAAGTCTGACCCACAATCTGCCGAGGATCCAAGGAACGGGGGTGCTAGCGATGATGAAGACTCGGAGACGGAGACTGTAGCATCAGACGTGTATATGAAGGATTGTTGTGTTGACGCAGCTTCAGAAAACCCAGACACGGAATTAGGATCATCACCTCCCCCTCCAACTCCAGAGTATCTATCAGCAGAGAGCAATGACAAATTGTTGTTTGCATTTGAAGAAATGAACTTAGAAAGCGATACTTGCTCTATGACATCACCCGAGGATTATCAAGCAAAGCAAGAGCAGACAGAAAGCTTTTTAGAAGATGACGCATTCGATGAAGACCTCTCTGACTTGGAAGATGCTTATGAAGATGAACTCAGTTGGAGATTTTTTGATGATTCTCAGAACCTAGCTACATTGCAAGATATCACAAGAAATATAAACCTTCCTTCCTGGGTTGGACGCGTGCCTAGCACTGTAGGGACACGCAAGGGCGGGAAATTGAAGGCAGATGAATGGGTGATTCTCTTCCAGGTCATGATGATACCTGCGATAATTTCTGTCTTGCACAAAGATCAGGGTGCTACAGACTTCACGGAACACAACTTCGTCCGCAATGCGCTCCATCTTATAAGTGTATTGAACATTGTTCGGAGGTTGGAACTGAATGAGCGCGACATTGGATCCCTCCGATACCATCTGCGAAGCTATCGAAATGGGTATTCCAAACTTTATAGTTCACTTCCCGTCCTGCCTAATCATCACATGGCGCTTCATCTTCCTGAATGTATCCAACGGTTTGGGCCCGCGCCTTTCTGGAGTGCATGGTTGTTTGAGAGACTTAATGGTAAATTGGCTAAAATACCGAATAATAATCATCCTAGTAAGTTCATAATATCGACTAAATAAGAGATTGTGTCTGAACTGACAAAAGCACGTCAGATTCCCGCGAATTGACAAGACTCAGGA